TAAGAGTTGCATCCCTGAAAGGGGTTATTGATTTTATTAACTAGTTACACTATATCTTCAATTTATTTTACGATTTTCAAGATAGCTTATTTTGATTTCTAATAGGTTATTGAGAGTACCTCTTTGAACTTGATACTTTTATTTTCTTTTGCCCCAATTTCTCAAGTAAATGGCTTCCAAGATGTTGGTTGTTAGAGATTACAAATAAATTTTATTAGAGAAAATTAAAGGTAACATGTATTTTATAAAATCAGATGATTTCACTAAACTTGTCTGAATCTTGTCTTTCCTGAAATCCTGACATAGTTATACATAATAAACTAAGATTGAAGTTTAAAAGATATCAAAATTTCCGGGTTAATGACAATGTGGTACTTCTGTAATATATGTATACACTATAAGAAAAGACACTGACTATGATTTATAGGGATTTAAGAAATGAAGACAAATAATATTCTGGCTCTGTCTCTCACTTGGCAGCAGAATCCCTAAAATATATCTCATACTAAAATAGAATTGCTACAACTCTGCTGGAAGGAATATTACCTCCTGTTGGTCTATTCTGGCTCCAAAATATATCTATATAATACAGTTTGTTTCTAAAATCTTTGCTGGAGAGAATGAGAGCCGTAAGACTCAGAATCAAAAGAGCACTCAAAAGGTAAAAAAGCAAGTAGATGGTATGTTGTGGTACTGTACACCAAGCATGAGATCCTTCTTCCTTTTTTTCTCATTTGACATTTCTCTTTCTTCCCCCTTGCTCACCTATGCCTCAGGACTAGTCATGATACTAACACGGCCACACAGACAGCTAGATGGTCTTTAGAGCTAAGAAGGTTCCTGAACCCTGTACACAAATTCCCAGAATACATGGAAGAGATAGAAAGAACAGAATATAATGAAGCCTAGATTAGTTCAAAGTGTTTATATGTCAAAGCACGCAACCAGGTTTGAGAAAAATGTAGGGAGTCAAGGGATGAAGGCAGACAACAATACATTTTTGCATATCAATTGGAAAATATACACGGAATACTGCTAAAACATAAAAAAATCAATTTTTAAATATTTGGAAGAAGAGTTACTGTCTTAGTTACTTCCCTCGTTGCTAAGACAAAAAGTTAAAGAGGGAAAGGTTTGTTTAGCTCCTAGTTTGTAGAGGCATCAGTCCATAATCGCCTGGCTCCAACACAAGGTGGCACATGGCAGGGGGAAAACAGTTTACAGTGGCAGAAGATAGCAAAAGCAACAAGAGAGAGCAAAGACAAGCCTCCTTCTGTCCCTTATACTGTATCCAGTCTACCAGGATTATGGCAGTGCCAATCCAGTCAGTGGACTGATCCAGCAATTGCTCACCTTTAATCCCAGCACTACACTATGAATCAATCACACACTCTAGATTCAGCTACCTCTGAAAAACCCCTATGACCACATGAAGCTTTGGGAAGGACATCTATGCACAAACCATAACAGTTAACTTTTAAACTGAGGATAGTCCAGAAGCTGGAAAAAATGGTGTTTAACGTTTAATGCTACTACTAACCTCTACATGTCTCACAATATTCTATTTCTAGTTCTTGTTTAGTAAAAAGAAAATAGTTTTTTATATGCTTTGAAAGTACTAGTAAGCACTCATCATCACAGCATTTGGCAGTTTCATTTTACAGAGTTTAGTACAGCATTTTCTATCCTTGTCAGTACTTAGTATTTGCTAATTACACTTGATCATAGCAAAGGGCCAAGAAGCGATGTATTTGCTGATTAATGAACCAAATACTAGCCTTCTAAATGTATTTCAGTCCCAGTACATGCTTGTAATCCCAGCACTCAGGAACCTGAAGCAGGGGATCACTGCAAGTTCACGAACAGCCTAGGCTATATACTGAGTTCAAGGCCAGTCTGAACTACATAGCAGTATCTTGTCTCAAAATAACAAATAATATTTTTCAGTCCTTAAGGAAGTTAGTTTAGATCTAGAGTTCACACTCAAATATCAACTTAACACTGAGCACCAGAAGTCTATGAATTTTGAAGGACTGGAACTCACTCTGAAAATGAACCCTAACAGAAATGTCACTACTTAAGACTTTTCCATTTGGCTAGTTATGTTACTCATGTTCTCTTCATGTCAAAACAAAGCACAAAAATTCACCCGTCTGCAACTTGTTAGTAAGGTACCTATATTCAGCTAATAAAGGAATAAAGGCAAATTTGCTATTTTGTTTTGTGTAAGAGCTCAGTATCATCTTTATCCTTAAGTAATTTGTATATAAAAGGTAATCTAGCAACTAGTACTATGCTAAGAATAAACCTGAAAGTTAAAGAATTTCAGTATTAGCTACCAAAATTAGATTTGTAATTTTATGTTTGCTGTTTAGCTTAAATGGAATAAAGTATGCAATTTTTGATCTGTTACTCAGCATGTTGACTTAAGTATTCTTTTCAGTAATCAGTCAGACTCACTGGCAGGTACTCAAAAGAGTCCACAGACGAGAAAGAAGATGTAAAAATGGAGAATATGATGGTGAATGATTTTGGTATTGCTTTTGTCTCTTCCATCACTGCTAACCAGTTTCTTTTATTGCTTATTTTGCTTCCATACAGAACAAAGTTCTGTCCTAGTCATTTATTTCTGTTCTTTTACTTGGTGAACTCATTCAATCTGCACTGTTTCAACTATCCCCTTTTTTTGTGATACTGGTGATTAAATTCAGGGCTCTCACACAGTCATTTTTTCCTTTCTATTTTGATTCTGAGACAAAGTCTCACTAAATTTCTAAGTTGCCCAGGCTGGACTTGAACTTGGAATCTTCCTGCCTCAGCCTCCCAGATCATTAGGCCACTAAGCTTAGCTTCATATATCAACTCTTAATCTAACTTTGTGGTTCTTCCTGAGCTTGTCTTACGTTTTATATAACCATCTGAATTGCCATCATCTAGATGTTCTACTAATATCATAAACTTAGCATTTCCAAAACTAAAATCTTCATTCTCCAGACAAGACCCCTGGATGTACTTTTTTTAAACTACACGTCTAATAACCAATCAGTTGCTAGAAGTCTTGCTGACTACTACATATCTCTGGCATATTTTCCACCCATATTACTATTTATACCTACACTCTGGTACAAACTGATATTATTGCTTACCTACATTATTACATTGGCCTCATATCTACTTAGTAAATATTTGCTGAATGAAATGAATGGTATTCCTATTACAGGTCTCTCACTACTTTACCCGCCTTCTACAACATAGCCAGATTAACTTCCTAAAGCACAGCTCTAAACTTACTAATACTGAACTCTAAAAGTAGGGATTCTTGTTTCCCAAATAATTCATTTTTTTACAGTAAGATACTTCACATTAGGAACTCTTACCTCCAATTCCTCTGAAAAATTTTCTCTTCATTGAAACGAAGATGAACTATTCACTTCTCCAGGCATACTATGCACATGGTTTTCTAGGCTATTATTCAAATTATTCCTACACTGATAACAATCCTACTCAAGGAATGGAGGCTTATCTCAGATATCATCTCCCCTGTACAATCTTTTCTGGTGGTTCCTCTTCTTTTCTCTGAAATCCCACAACTTTGTGATGGGGAGCCAAGAGTGCTGGGATGAAACTAGGACCTTGTTCATGCTAAGCAAGTGCTCAGACACTGAGCCACACCCCCAGCCTTGGGTGGTACCTCTTTAAATCACTTGTGACTTAGTATTATGGCAGTAAGAATAAAACTTGTTTTATACCAAGGGAAGAAATTTGCTTTTCTCGTATTTGAATACTCTCCAGTGCCCAAAACAGTGTTTTATATAAGTTCTCAATATATTTTTAGGTAGGAAAAAGAAGTAAGTTAATAAAATGGAAAATATATGACACAAGAAAGAAGTAAGTTCCAGGAATATAGATCAGCGGCACAAGTGCCTGCCTAGCAAGCGCAAGGTCCTGAGTTCGATTCATGGTACCAAAAAAAAAAAAAAAAAAGGAAAGATAAGATAATAAGCATTAGGACCTGGGTTTGAAAAAAAAGTATTAAAAAAAAAAAAGAAAACAAAGTATTAATCCTTAAAGAGGTATAACCAAATTATAGCCAAACTTCATTTATATTTTAAGCAAACACTTTTAACCATGCACTTAGGAATTTAAATGTATTTTTATTTTTAACACTTACATTATGTTTTATAACTTGCTAGGTGCTGTTGTAAGCCTTTTATACGTTAATTTAATCCTTATCACAAACCTATTTTACAACTGAGGCATGGAAACTAAGCAACTTGCCCAAGGTTACAAGATTAGAAGCAGAAACAAGGCAGCCTGATTCCAGAGACCATGTTCATCATCATCAAAACACATTTATATGTATACTTCCCTGACTTTGAAATCGGAATAAATTGAAAATAAAAGTCTTAAAACTCAGAAATATCATTAGAATTTTTTATTATAGGATAATGAAAAGTTGAAGAGGTGGTTGAAACACAGAGGAAGCTGACTTTGAATTTATCCAGCTTTTATGGCTTTTTTTCAGTTGTTTTTCCCCTTGATATTAAACTGTTATTTACCGCTATCACTTATGGCTACTGATCTGCCTAAAATGTCTTCATTTCAATTTACTGGGAACTGGTAACCATACTTACCAGAAAATATGTATTAAATAAGAGTCAACAAGATCTGAAGAACTTCTTTTATAATGCCCCTTATATCTGCTATAAACAACGTTCTTGACTTTTATACTGGTTTTAAGATCAAATTCTACTAAACTGAGGAAATTAGATATCTGATTCAGAGACAGAGCAGATATTATCATATAATTTCTACTCACAGCATAAAATAATTACATAAATTAAATGAGGGTCTTAAAAGTTGGCCATATTCTCCCCAAAAGTAGTGTATATTAGTTCAAGGTTTACAACTAGAAAATATCATAGCATTTATTATACTATAGTACAATTCTTATATATTAAGTATAGCATGAAACAATGCATGAATTCTCCTATTCTTACCTTTGCACCACCCAAAAATCCCAAGGAAATGGCAACTCTAGCACGTAGATCTGGCCTGTCTTGGGGCCATACATAAGAAAGCATTGCTTTTATAATTTTCCGAGTATCAACATCTTTTAACTGTTGAAAGAGAAAACAAAGAAGTAAAATGTTATTTCAAATTGAACCATACATTAGTTTTGTAGGTTATATAAATACTTGAGACAAACATAAAAACATTATAAATATAACTTTTATTCTGAATCTAAGGCTAGTATTTTCAAACTCAAGATATTTTGGTGAAAAAGAAATTTACAATTGCTTTTAAAAGCTATTCATTACTCTTACATTTTTTCTTTTCCACTACAATAATATTTATACTGCTAAAAACTTATTCAGTGGTGGCAAGGACATACATTAGTCTATTAAACTATAAAATTATACGTAAGACTTTAAAAATATTTCTATGCTGCCATCTTTGTAGTTAATTTTAGAGTCAAGTCCAAATACATAGCAAAACAGAGTTACAATACTGTGTTTAGGAAAGTAGGGATCTAGGTATTAACAATATTGAACAGAGTTATGGTTATTAAAAATGTCAACAAAAATGCAATTTTCCAGTCATGCTTAATCTGACCTAAATCCAGCTCACATTTTTTCCCCACGTTCCTGAGGCAACATTCTCATTAAAGCTTTTGGCTTTGTGTTCACTTTTAGAGGGAGAATGTTAAGAATCAAATCATACTTTCTAAAAGCAAAATAATACGATCTCTACATCTATATTTCAAAACTACTATATTATTATAGTTGGTGAAAGAAAAAATAATCATCATTCAAAAAACTGAAACATAGTAACATACTTTCTGGAAAAGTAAGTAAAAAAGAAAATAAAAGTTGATGCTCTTTGTTAGTGATGCCACCAATTTTATTTTACTACTGTAAAGCAGGAATATCTTGATTTAAAATTCTTTAAAAATGTGCCCAAGCTTTTGAAATGCCTCTTTAATATGGTGTCCACATTTTAAAAAAAAGATTATGTTTTATACTTCATAGTTTATTTAAACTATAGCCAAAGTCATGCCCTTTACAGCTTAATGGACTTATAAAGCATGATTACACAACTGTAGAACTCATTTTGTTAAATGAAATGGTGACATTTTATGCACTATTAAGCCAACTAGAATAATTTTCTTGCTCTTAGTCCTAACTTTTCTGTGTCCTTCGTGAAAAAATTCTGGGGTGTGTTTTAGAAGGTTTTTATAGGAAGGGGTATTTCTAAAGATATGGAGAAATGGCATTTTTCCAATTATTCCATCAAGAAAAGTAAAGACAAAAATCTCATGAAATGGGACAGTAGTTGAAATGCCCCAATTTGTGTTATAATGTATTAAGTAACATTTATTTTTGTAGTAGTTGGAGTGGAATAGTGAATTTTAAAATTACTGCCCTATTCCCTTTTTAAATGCATTACCAGTTCTGAGAGCACACACATGTGTATGTGCGTGTATGTAATATAAAGTATTAAGTACTATACTTTCACTTTCCATATTTTTTGCCATCTTATGTACTTAAAAGTAGCCTGGGATGGTAGTCCTATTTTCAGTAGAATACAAACAGTTTCATTTCTGTTACTCTTTGTGGAATGAACTGCCTAAAAGACTACATAATTTGTTGAGCCCTATAGGGATAACCACAACATAAAAACACTCTGTGCTATATTATACTGTCCTGGGTTTCTTGTATTTGTGACAATCTCCCTCACTGTCTGCTGCTCAAATCTACTTGAGGTGCGTAACTTTTCTGACGTTGAAATGAATTAATGTTTTTCTTATTATATGAGAATTACAAAAAACACAAGCAAGCAAAAGGAATATAAATAATTATGGATGATTTCACCCACTCACAGCTACTGCTGTTAACACTTTTGGGAGTACTGGTTATCAGATCCAATCGTATGCACATGTAAACTCACACACACATTGTATTTCTTCCTATGAAAATGTTTTTTATTTTACTTTTTCATTTAATATATTTATGTGTCATGACATGTATTTCTGAGTTTTCAGTGGGAGTCCTAAAAGACAAAAAAGTTATCTAAAGCTGGAAAAAGATAATCACTAGCTTGAAAGTGAATTAGAGTTAACTTTTTATTAACTATTCATTTTTACCCTGACTCAACAGGGTGTGGACAGTATAGCACAGATACTCCAATTAAGACCACATTTTTTTCCCCTTCTTGGTATCTTCCCAAAAGAATTAAAACCATCACACCGCAGTGATATATATACACACCCATGTTTATACCAGCACAATTTGGAATAACTAAATCTTGGAAACAGCTCAAATGCCCATCAACAGATGAATAGATAAAGAAGATGTGTTTTTTTATACAATGGAGTACTACTCTGCCACAAAGAAGGATAAACATGAGTTATTTCTAGGTAAACGGATGCACCTTAAGACCATACTCTTAAGTGAAATAAATCAGACATATACACTTAAATATCACATTGTTTCTCTGGTGTGAGAAACTAAAAGGGCAAATACGGACCAAAAGGTATAATAGTTATTGGGAAACAGAAAGAAAATGTTCAAATGGGAAGGGTAACAAAGGGAGGGGGAGGGAGAGAGGAAGGAAGGGAAAAGAAAAAAGAGAAGGTAAAGAATGGAAACAAAGCTTTTGTAAATAATGAAGGAAGAGTAGGGTCAAAGGGAGGGGAGATGGTTGGGGAATAAAGAATCAAGATATGCTATTAAGAGATACAAATTCCTTATGATGAATGTGATCATTATGTACATCTAAAGTATACCAATAAAATTAATTTTAAAAAAGATAAAAGTTGGGCTAACAGAAGCCAATAGTTTCAGTGTTAGTGTTCAAACTAAATCAGTCACTGAAGAATTTTCCCCCCAAGTTTCAAGTCTATACTGTTTGATTTAACTACTTTTAAAATATATTATTTTTCTTTGAATTTTTAGATTGAACAGTTGAGTGTATTTATCAAACAGATTTGTGTGTAGTAAAAGTAACTCTTTGCTCATATTAAAAAATGGTCACATTCTTTTGTTAAAGAGAAAAAACAAAAACAAAATAACAAAAACAACACAAAAATAAAAATACAGAATTTCAAAGAAAATATGAAAGGAAATTTAACAATGGTCATTGTATTACATATTGTTATCTTCAAAGTAGTTGCTCAGATTACCAGATATAAGCATACAAGATTATAGGTAAATGGATGAAATTAGAGACCATACTCAAAAGTGAAATAAATCAGACCCACATGTGTAAACACTGTATTGTCTCCCTAGTATAAGAACCTGAAAAAGTAAATAAAATCTAAAAGGTACACCAGATATTGTGGAAGGGAAAGAAACTGCTCAAAAGGAAAGAACAACTGGGATGAGGGAAAGGAGAAAAGAAGGGTCACATTCTTAAAGAAACGTTGGGGAATGTAGGAAATGGTACAGGAGGATGCCAAGAAACTGGGTTATTTGAAAAATTACTCTCTCTTAAAGAGTAATCACACGATGGGAAAAGATATCAAATGATAATTTAAAGAAATGAAGTTTTCCCCCAAGAATCACAATTCTGAAGTGACTAAGAAATGATACCATAACAATTTTTCTTTAAGCCTCCCTAAGACATAGGCAGATACTATGAAATTCTTTAACTTTTTAAAATCATTTTAATAGTAAAAAAAATTTAAAGGTATTTTAAAACATAATAGTAATGACTATATCATGACAACAAAAGCCCTCTAAAACTGAATGCTACAGAAATATTTGTAAAAGTAGGCGCAAAACTACTTTTCTCCTCTGCTAACAAAAAGCATAATAATGTGGCCTTCTTGCTGTAGATAAACAGCGTCAGATTTAAAGGATGAAATTGACATTTTAAGGCTCATTACAATGTAAAACTAGTAGCAAGTTAGTATGAGAAATACAAGCTTTTATAACGGTTTTAAATATATATATTGGAATTACACAGTCATAATTAAAGAAAAACAATCAGACTGCAGAAAAAACATACAACGAACAAAAAAAATTCAAACTGGCTCATCAAGGTCTTTGATAATAATAAAACTGTGCTGTACTTTTTCTAGAAATGAGTTTAAAAGAAAAAGTTCGAAAATGTCAGAGAGCTGTCCAAGGAGATTAAATAGTAACTGAAAACAAGGTGGTTGTTATGGTTGATCATTGTGTCAATTGAGGAGTCTGGAGGCGTGGCTAAGTGACTCAGCAGTTCTGCATCCTGGGGGGAAAAGGACATGCCCTTAACTGCTCTGCGATGTTGTTCATTGTGTCAATGTAAGAAACTTAGAAGGTTAACCAACTGACTGAGCAGGGACCGGGTCCTTACTCTGTATCATCCTGAGCCTGTGCAGGAGAAGGGCACTGAAATGGTGTGAGTGCTACACACTTCCTGGGTGGGGGGAGCCTGCTTACCATAGAAGGGCGGAAAAGAGGCTTGCTCACCCTCCCCCTTGTTTCTTGTTGCTTTTGCTGTCTTCTGCCGCCTTGAAGTGTTGCCCCTGTGCCCTGCCAACCTGCCTTGGAGCCAGCTGATTGTAAACTGAAACCTTCACAAACTGTAAACCAAGTAAAGCTCTTTCCTTCCTTAATTTGGGTATCAGGTATTTTGTCTCAGCAAGGAGAGAAAAGTAACCAAGACAGTGGCCCAAAGAAAAACATACCAGAAAAGGAAACTTGTTTCATATTGGGATCAATGCTTAATAAATGCTCATTCAGTAATTTATCTATTCTCAAACATATGAAAATACATTCTTATTAATATCCTGGAGGTACACATAATACTTGATGTACTAAATCACCACACTGACTATTTTTAAATATTCACTTACTTAGTATTAAATAGGGTTTCGTAAGTTTCACAAAGCTGGACAAGAAGAAAGGAATATCTGCTTGTACATAGAAAGACAAAACACCACACTCGTAACATAGTGGGCCAAAACCAAATATAGTCATGCATTGCTTAATAACAGGTATATAATCTTAGAAATGTATAGGTAGGTGATTTCATTTATGAACATCTTAGAATATACCTATGCAAAACTAGATGGCATAGCCTACTACATACCTAAGCTATATGGTATAGCCTATTATAAAACCTGTGCAGA